CAGATCAGGTAGTCAGAAACAGGTCGTTAATTAATACCATTAAACTGAAGAGTGATTTGCAGATGTAAAAGTGACAGACATAAAGGTAGAGAGTAGGCTAAGGTGAGTAAGGTGGAAGTGATCGAATATGACATACAGTCGGGTCAACAACAAATGAAATGAATAAGTGACCTAAGCAAGAAAAAAGAAAACAACTTTAATAATCTCACTGACTATATATATATATATATATATATGGCAAATAGCAGTTGTAACCTCGCAGTAGTAATGCTCAATGATACAACTAATAAATCACCTGAGCATTAGACGGAAAGGTTATTCTTCAAGTCCTCCTAATAGGCAGTTGATGAAGTTGAATAAGATAGTTAGTCACACTGCATCTGAGTGAATACGAAAGTGTTTTGAAAATAGGGGTGGGGGGGGGGGGATATGATTGTAGATATGGCATTGACCTCTAAGTTTAGGCGTAAATAACTTTAAACCGAACTTGTATGGACACACCCAGTGATCGAAAAGGTCCAGCGCAATGGCTTATAAATTGAAAGTCAGGTTTCGTGTTTATCGCTCATTAGGCTCAGTTACACCCATAACTCAACCAAGACAGACGTCTAAAAATGCTCTCCTAACTAGGCTTGTTAATTAGATATCAATGGTAAACGTAATTCTAGTGTTAATGCTCCTTCGTATAACCGTATTCGTTCTATGTGAACACTACAACCATACATTTTAGCTGCTCATTTAACTAAATACCATAAGCAACAATATTCTTAACCCATGACGGTGCTCTACTTGATGTCTAGTGGAACAAAATCGTGCCCGTAGGTGTCTGGGCTATTATTTTCCAATTCCATTTCGTTAGATAATAACATGCTTCAACTTGGTTATATGGCCTAACTATTTCATAATCTGCAAATGCGATATTTTACAATCACTCACATTGTAATTGAACTGACAGTGCTGTTGCGCTGTTTCACTCTTTTGATCAATAAAATGCTATCACAGAACGATCGATGCTCACATATTCCCCTAAGACACTATTAAATAACAATAGAACAAGAATATATGTATTAAATGAAGACATTTTTATTTGTAACTTTATGGCTGAAGCTCCACACCGCCACGTTCCTTTGCAGGAACACCACGTATGCTAAGTTTATCAGTTTATATTTAACCAGTTCTGAAGAGCTCTTAAGGAAACTGTTTTCAAGTAGCCCTCATAAGTGTAAGCATTTATGTTACCTTCAGCAGTAAATCTGCTTCACAGCAGCATCTGTCAAATTCTTTAGAACACTACCATAGATAAATTCATGCTTGTCACTAACATACGCACTAAAATTGTCCTTACGTGTACCCGGAGAGTGGCGATTAGTGAGCATTTCTGCAAGATATTTATCGATCTAATCTTAATTTTGGTACTTTATCAATGTTGATTACAGAAGTAGAGGTCAATCTATAATTATAGTCACTGTTTACGCATGCCGAGCCCAAACATCGAGCTGCAACTCGCTTTTCCATTCAGCTACTTACCGTAGTGCTAAAAGAGATAAACACATTTACTGCCATTAGCTAGGTATTATTTTATCTTCATTTCATTACTCATTGCAGTCTTACAAGATGCACTGTAATAAAATATTCTGGCCACCACAATCTTCATTAGATTTAAAACCCTGGACATTATGCTAGGCTCCTCTAATGGTGCATATCAATTAAAATACAGTGCTCGGTTTAGCTTTGAAGTACATTTTCAATAATGTCAAAAAAGTACAGAGGAAACGTTTTAAAGGATCATCAAATTTAATACCCTTAAATTAGACGTTTTGAAATAAATTCCAATTTTAAAATTAGTATTAAATTATGAAAATTTTAAATATATAATATAAACCAATTAAAAATAATATTGTTGGATTATATCAAGTATATAATGAAGTCCTAGACTTACATTTAGTAAAAGATGCTTAGACGTTGATTGGCTCGAATGAGCCAATCACGTTTGAATCGCATGCGCGATAGCTTAAAGTTGTCTTACAAATTTGACGTATTTTAGTATGGAGCCTGATTATAAATTCCAAGCTGAATATGCCAAAAGCAATAGATCGTCTTGTCGTGCATGCAAGAATTCAATAGGCATGGGATCCTTAAGAATAGGAGCACTAGTTCAATCTTATGCATTCGATGGAAAAATGACTCTATGGTACCACTACAGCTGTTTCTTCAAGAAAACCAAGGTCCTACAGACAAGCGACATTAAAAACTTTGATAATTTAAAATTTGAAGACCAGGAAAAGATCAGAACAGAGATCAGTTCAGAGAAATTTCTTATTTCTAACTATAATATCACGGCGAATTCTGACGGTTTGGGCAAATGCACGAATTGCTCAAAGATTATTAAGGTATTTCTTGATTTGATATTTATACGCTAGGATCCATTTTTCATCGATGGTAAATTAAGTGAACTTGGCACTTCTTATCATGTCAAGTGCTTCGTGAAGAAGTATCCTGAAGCTGACGTGTCGAAGTATGCTTATTTTTATTTTATAAATGAATCTTCATAATTCTTTAGAGTTCGTGGGTTTGGCAAGCTCAAAGCACAAGAAAAGTTTGATCTTTTGGATGCTTTGTCAAACATTAAAGCGTATGTGTGCGTTTTGTATAGATTTTTTATCTCCATACTATTGAGATTACTTAAACTATTTCTTCTTGAAGTAAGAGTTCAAGGAAGCGAAAAACAGAAGAATTCGATAACGAAAATCAAGCCCCTCCTTCCAAGAAGTCCCGAGCTTCTAAGGCACCCATTGAGTCCACTAAAGACGCTCTAAAGGTAATTTTCGTTATTAGACTTCTCATATTGGCGATTCTCGAAAAAGGACTATTATTATATGGTCTTTCAAATTGTTCTAGAACTTTTGAAGCTCTCCGCAGCACCAAGTGGCTGTATTTTGAAACATTCTTATTTGGGAACCTTGTAAAATTATTTTCTGATGGGGTTCAAACGGGTCCTTAAATTTGTCAGACCCGAAGCACTGGTTTTATTTTGAAGCATTTCATAATTTTAGCAAACTGCACGCACAACTTTTTCATAATATCCGTCCATCCTATTTCGACTTAAGAGATCGTAATCCATTTTTTTCCAATTGAGTGATGCCTAGAAAGATTACTTTTAAATTTGACCTGAATGTCACGTCTTTCTGAATATGTTATTTAAAATTTCTTCTTGTATCTTCGAACTTCATGGTTTTAGGAGCAAGCAAACTTATTTATTTATTTATATCAAATGGCAGGCGTTTTGATAGTTATCATTAGCCCTTTAGTTGACTTCAGGCTTCACAGATGGGAAGGAACATCAAAGTGAAAAAGGTCGAGATGGGGGGGGGGACAGAAGAGTGTTTCAAAGATGTAAAAGAGACAGACACAAAGTTGGAAAAAAGGTGAGGTGAGTACGGTTGAAGTAGC